ATTTTTTTACTTTTGTTTGTGGAATTTTGATGATGTTTTTCCTTAATTGATTAATGCAAAATGTAAATGTTACTCTTCAAAATTAGATGAAGAAAATGAGTGAAAAAAACATATTTTTCATTAAATTTTTTGTCTGCAAAATGCAAAATGTAAATATTATATAGGGACTGATTCAAATAAAAACCAGTTATGATGTGAGAACCGTATTTAATGCTATTTTTAATTATATGTGATATTATTTTTAGTATTATATGTGATATCGTTTTCAAAAATTGTTGTTGTTTTTAATAAAATACATTCTGATTAAAAACAGTAGTAACACACAATCAATTTAACATTACGTACAATTTCGCTAATACTTGGTTCTCATTTGAACCAAATCTATAAATATATATTATGCATTTAAAAATGGTTTTTAATTATGAGAACATGTCCCTCTTGGAATTATGGTTGCCTTTTAAGTTAACATATCTATTATAATCTTATTCATAGAAAGGTCTATTACTTTAATTTCTAAGCCAAACCAGGTGTATTCCACATTTCCAACTAAAAAAGATCTGATCACAAAAGACAAAAAGAACAAGCCTATTATTGATAATCACATTATGACCTGACCCCTTAGTCGGTAACATACATTCTAAATTTTTTCTTGATGTCGGTAAATGATGTTAGTGTAATAATATTTTATATATTATTCTATTATTGTGGACCATATAATTAATTGGACCTAATTGAATTAATAGTCAAACTTATTTAAGGTGGAGCTAAACGGTCGGAATATCACCGTGAACGAGGCTCAGTCTTAAGGTGGTGGCAGCTGCGGTGGCTATAGAAGCCGAAGTGAAGGCAGTGGCGAGAATGGTGGAGGTGGCTACAGCGGCGGTCGTGGCAATGGTTATGGCGGCGACCGTTACGACACCAAAAAAATTGGACCGAGCTTCTAAACAGTCCGCTTCCTTCCATAGAACAATATCATAACAACGGAGGTGCAAGTGGCCATATTAAATCCTTCAAAGGTAGTTTACTTAGTTACCTTATAACTTGGATATTTGCATGATGTTGTTTATTCATTCCGAATACAAAGGGGTGGCGGCAGTTCAGATGGTGGGAGTTGGAGGAATTAAGAAATGAAATTTTTAATGTTTTTGTTATGAATCAGTTTTTCTGGTTTGTGGTGTTTTTTGGTGCTTGTAGGTTATTGTGTTTCGTTGTTTTGTTTGCGGTGATGGTGTTCTTCAGAATCTACAAAATCGATATGTTCATTGGGATGACGTAAATTGAGATTTTCTATCCAAATTGAAATGTTATGTTGTCTAATTTGTTATTTTAATTATATTGAATTTGATTTTATAACAACTTTAAATTGTTACTTTAATTAGGTTGAATTTGATTTTATAATAATTAAATATATGATGGGAATAGAATTTTCAATTAATTGTTTGATTAAAAAAATTAGATAAGAAAAAAAAATTGATATAGGATAATATTTAGATTTCTCTTCTAATTTGATCAGTTGATCATTGAATAAGTCAATATGAAGTATACATTGAAATTTGGATATGAAAGTGCTTAAAAAAATTAGATGATTTTCATTTGTAAAAAAAATAAAAAAATAGCCACTTTAAAGTCTGGATTCTTTCCATTATTTTTTGTATGTTAACAATCATAGATTGAATAATTGATTTAAAAAAAAATCAAAACTACAACGTTTAATAATATTTCTTAAATAAAAAATATTGTGTAAAGATAAGTGTTTAATAATATATGTTTTTCATTGTCCGTATTTATTTTATTTTCATAATGAGATGAGATGTGATAATATAAACACTTATATTTAAAGTAAAGTCTAAAAAAAAGGTTTAAAATATAAGCTCCTCTGTGCATCGCACGGAATATGTACTAGTATGTAAGATATAATAGTTAATAAATACGAGAATTGTAGAACACTTTCACATACATCGATATACCCTTATGAAGATTTCACTTTGAGACTCAATAGGTTATTGGTTCAAAGCAGGGCAAAATTTTAAAAATTGTCCACTATGTTAGCTATTTTTCAAAAATTGTCCATCATATAAATGGTCCACTAAGTTGCCACTTTAATCAAAATTCATACAAAAACCAACATAGTGTACTAAAAGTGATTGTCATTTTTAGTACACTGTTGGCTATTGTACCAGTTTTGATGAAAAGTGGCAACTTAGTGGATCATTCTTGATGACACCTATATGATAGACCTTTTTTCGGAAAATGGCTTACATAGTGTACTAAAAATGAAATTTAGCCTTCAAGTCACAATATAGGCAGAATTAATGATTCTATAACAACCAACTCGACTAACCTCGGATTATAGATCACTGAACCCCAAATATATATGCCCAAATAAAATCTCCACTGGAAAGCTTAACTGGAACAGCCACAGGCCTTTTGCTGGGTTTGATGCCTTTAATAGCTGCAAACAAGAAAAATGATACAAATGCCACAAAATATTAGTTATGACGAAAATTTTTAATGAATTTCAAGTGGTGATGTTGCAATCTTACCTTCAGCGTAATCGGGGGCTCCAAAACAGCAGAGCTAGCAACTAAGGCATAGGCCCCAACTTCAATTACCCTTCGACATTATTATCAACTTTAAGACAAGCCCAATTGCTAGTTTTGCATATCGTGTGATTGTATCACGTTATGTGTACTCTTCACAGACATGTACGATTAAACTAAAATTGTAAGATTTCAACATTACCTCACTACAGCATGTCAAACCCCATCCAGAAATATAACATTTAACAGAAATTTAAGCACATTACATAATTTCCATTTTCAACTAAGAGGTGCAATGTCATGGCGCGCAAAATATACAATATACAGGAGAAGCATGATTAAAATTTTGCACTCGTAGCTTTTCAACTAAACCCCTCCACTGACACAAATGATTTGTAAGATAGAGCTTCTACATTTAAATGTCCACAGCAAATAATGTTTTGTCGTAAATATGAACTGCAAATGTAATGTATAAGCTTATGAAACCACTTTTGTTGATGATCCTCTATCACCAATTGTCTATTGACATGTATAAATAAGAAAGAACAAAAACTTAATACGGGGCTGTGGTACAAAGAACAATACCTGTAAGTTTTAACTCGATTGCAAAAGCTGCCTTCATGCAAAAAACCTCCTGGGATACAGTTACTAAAATGTTTACACATAAGTTCATGCAAAATTAAATTGTTGAATATAAATGAGACACACCAATGGGAAAACAAGAAATTATATATAAAGGTACCTCATGCTCAACACCAACATCAGCAGCTTCAGACAGCTTTAGCAGATAGGGAAGAGTGTAATCACATGAAGCTATAGGGGTAATCTTGAGCTGTTATCATATGAGCATAAATACCACCCGTGTGAACCTCTAAACAAACATGTAACTCCATAATATATCTGCAGTGGTGAGTTTGATTGTGGTAATCAACTTACCAGCATATGTGGTAGAAAGAAAATGGAGAGAGTGCAATGGATGGTGGTGATTATTAAGCTACTATTTGATTTATTGGAGCCACTATAGCCCAGTGAGTGATCTATCTATAAGACAATCAACATCATATGCTTGCCTAAAGTATAATTTATACGTAAATAAAAAAATTGTGAACTCAACAATTTCTCTCAAGGCTTAAATATATAAAAGTAAGAAAAGACAACCAAACAATTGATCTGGAACATAAAAAGATAAAAAGCGGACAACAATACCTGACATTTATAACATCGTCTACTCTGCCTGTGAGCCAGTGGTAACCATCTTTATCCCTAAATTACTGAATAAATTAACATATAATTCAGAATATGGAGAATATGATGGAAATGATGCGTAAAAACTAATTCAAAGACTGAAGAACCAGAACCTCTTATTTCCCAACAACAACAACAACAACAACATACCCAGTATATTCCAACAGGTTGGGGTCTGGAAGGTCAGTTGTACGCAGACCTTGCCCTTGTAATTATACAAGGAGGTTGTTTCCGTAGCGACCCAAGGTGCATTGCGCCGTTTGATATATTTTTTTTTTTCTAGAAACTTCACTAATAGAAGAAGCACTAGAATTTAATTGAGTCATTTTGATCTAGTCCATTATTAGCACTATGCCAGGAGAATTGTCAACAATCTGCATTTGCAATGGACAAAAGAACCTCTTATTTCCCAAAAAAAAAAAAAAATATTACCTGATGCAACCATTTCCACTGAAATAGTAGCCAGTGAAGGCACTAAAGTATGTTGTTTCATATCTTTCATGATCCCCATAGAGCGTTTGACATGCCCCCGGCCAAGAGCTTTTGACACACAAATAACCTCTGCACTCCCCACCTTCATTCACTATGACAGGCTGCATATGCAAGTAAAAATCTGAAATGCTTTACTACGTAAAGCTTATACTGTTAAAAAGAGCCATTATAAAGCAATCATAACCACCAAGGGATAGCTAGACATAAAGGGTGAAGATATTTATGTTTTGAACAAAATCTAAATGCTTAAGGCCCAAGTAAACAAGAATAGACTTGAGGCCCTCAATATAACTTATTTTTCTTCTTCTTTTTCCCAAAATCAGGTACACACAATTACTTATAGACAGTTGAATTATAAGAGAACTTAAAGCACCATTTTTCAAACCCACAAAACTACATTTACTGTTCATTACCCTGTCTCGGACAATCAGGTCCATCCAGAGGATTTCACAATGCTTGATTCCTTAACACACCCCACCCACGGTAACCATAGTTCACAGCTATCAAACAAATATACGGCCTATATTGATTGATATGTGTCGTCCAGTGTACGCATAATTTCACATTTGAGCAAGCAAGTTTAAAGACGAGAACTTCGACGGATATGTAAGCAAGCATCATAAAAAAGAAAACAGAAATAAACACCCAAAAAAAATATGATACCAAAAACCTCTCAAACATGTGATTTGACCTGCAGCAGAAAAAAGAAAAACCCCATTGATTCATTAGTTTTAAATTTTCTGACTTTAAAAAGTAGGAAATAAGAAACCGACATCGCGCACTTGGAGGAGGTTTTGAGGGTCATCGGGCCGGGCTGCAGCTTGTGGGCCGAAGAGGAGTCCAGATTTGCGTTGGAATTCGACCCAATTTCGAGGTTGTCGGCTGAATCTGATAGCTTTTTTTGCTCTTTTCTTCTTCTGTCTTCCTCAGAAGAGAGTTCTTTTGGGTGGCTCCTTTCACTATAGGGAAATTGGGGTTTGGGGCAATTTTTTTAATTATTTCTTCCTTTCCTTACACGATAGGGAAATTGGGGTTTGGGGCAATTTTTTTAATTATTTTTTCCTTTCCTTAATTTAGTGATTTAATTGAGATATGTAATTATGTTTACTGTGAATGTTAAAAGAAAGAAATACTAAAAACCTTTTCTGTAAATTCATTACAAGTTTTTTTTAAGTAAGCGTATTTTAGTATTTACACAAAATATTATGGACACTTGGCATTCATTTGAAGCATACATGATATTAGGTATGTACAAAGCTAAAAAGAGGCTACCTGACTGTAGAATCACCCAACAAAGTATTGATTAGGCTTTGTATTGCCGCTTCTTACTGCTGTGTTTATGTTAATGCACTTTCCAATGCT